GTTTATTTCCATGGTGATGTGACTGTGGAAGAAGATGTTTCCCATGCAGTGGACTTCACAGTGGATAGATTCGGCACCCTTGACATCATAGTCAACAATGCGGGAATTTCTGGATCACCCAGTCCTGACATACGCGAGGCAGACTTATTAGAATTCGACAAGGTGTTCAGTGTGAATGTGAAGGGAGTGTTCCACGGGATGAAACATGCTGCCAGAATCATGATCCCAAATAAGAAGGGCTCCATTGTTTCATTAGCCAGTGTAGCAAGTGTCATTGGTGGCCTTGGACCACATGCATACACAGGTTCTCATAGTAATTTTTCATAGAAAAATGCCATTAGTGAGATATTATTATTATTATTGTTGGATCTATCGAGGAGGAGGTTTACTAGAAAGATACAAACATCAATAAGATCTGAGTTTGGGTTGGAAGTTTCACGTCGACTAGAAATAAGACTAATTTATAGTATATAAGTGGATGTAAATCTAACCATAAAAGTTGGTTTTGTGGAGTTGAGTTAGATCAATTTATAATATATTGTGTAAAAGGACATATTGTTCCACTCGAGCCGTACCACCCATTAATGTTTAGTATCACAATATAATTTTTAATTCAAAACCTTGCATTGAGTTTATCAGTATTTTATCTGATTTGATGTTTAATTTTGTCATTTTTACTTGATGAGATTTTGACTCAAACTTGTATTATTCTCAGGATCAAAACATGCTGTTCTGGGGCTCACAAAGAATGTTGCAGCTGAATTGGGAAAACATGGCATAAGAGTGAATTGTGTGTCACCTTATGGTGTTGCAACAGCATTGTCTATGGCCCATTTGGCTGAAGAAGAAAGAACTGAGGATGCTTTGGCTGGTTTTCGTGATTTTACAGGGAGAATGGGAAACTTGCAGGGTGTAGAGTTAACTACTAATGATGTGGCTAATGCTGTGTTATTCCTTGCAAGTGATGATGCGAGATATATAAGTGGAGACAATCTCATGGTTGATGGAGGCTTCACCAGTGTAAATCACACACTTAAAGTTTTTAGATGATTAGTGCTGTTTTATTTTATGTATGTTAATGTACTAAGTTTAAGACATTGCAATCATAATGTCTGTCACAAGGATTTTCAGTTAACACTCAAATAATGTCAAAAATATCTGAAAATGGGTTTGTTTGGATTATGCTATAGAGAAATATATCCGAATTTGTCTTTATCCCCGACATCATAAAAGTTCAGATTATACTCACTTTTGTAAATGATAAATAATTCAGATTGAAGATTTTACATTTACTAAAGAGTAAGCTTTAATTTTACTGGTTTTTTATTTGTAATCCAAGATTCACTAACATTCGAGAAAGAATAGTTGGTACTTATTATTAGTGATTTTAAATTCACATCCCATAAATTCACATTATATAAATTAAAGTTAAGTTTAATTATGTTTTAAGTTTATTATAAATTTGGATATCTTCGATTAACTTCCTATTAAATCTTTTTAATCTACTAATACTTAAAAAATTTATATTTTCAATTAACTATCTACCGTTTATTTTATTTTTTTTAATTGAGTGATATAATTGTTGTCTTGTGATCTTAATTTCTTGTCTACAAATATTAAAAAATGTATGATTCTGTGGTTAATATAAAATAACATTATAATTAATATAATGTTTTATATAAACAAAAATATCACATATCTTAATTCCTAAAAATAACAAAACAAGATAATAGGACTGAACACTGTTTCTTATCATGTCATGTTCAGTGGTTGTAGTTGAGTTGGTTTGGGTTACTTCTAAGTTCATCTGTTTGAGACGGAACTGATTCTTTTTCCAACTAATTACAATGAATCTCATCAAAGCCTACTTGTACATTGTCATGACGCTAATTCATTTTCACATTTCTGAAGGGTGAATAAAACACGTAAGTAGAGCTATAGAACTGTTGCTTTCATGAGGCATGGATTTTAGGATGCACTGAACTGATTCAACCATACAAATGAATGACCATGACTCTGACTGGTATGCCACAATAATAACAAAGAGGGCAACCGGCATATGAATTGTATTCTAAACACTACAAAATCAAGTTCTCATGCGTTAACTTATTAATCAAAAGACTTCTCTCATTCATCAAATGAAAAGTTACAGAATCAGTAAAAGAGGGTATTGGTCTAGAATATTAATGATGGATTTAGAGCACGAATTCAATTTTCCTGCCCAGAAAACATGGACAGACATCTTGGTACATCGATACTTCAACAAAACTCAATAAATGTGATGGTTTAGAGATACACAAAAGCAACAAAATTTATATGCGTATTTTACACAGTAAATTAATCTAATCAGAATCAGCACACTGGATTAGTGATTGATGCATCATCAGCAGAAGCCAGAACAAGCTGGGGTGGAAGTACTGCTCCTTCTTGTCTAGCTTTCTTGCGTTCTCGCTGCAACCTGAAGAACTCTCTCTTCCTTGCTCTATAGCTGTTGGGGTTCTCAGGTTGTACCTCTCGAGGATAAACACTGACCTGTAGTAATACATGTTGTTGCATAGCCCATTAATTTGTATTCTCAAGGATTATAGGACACATGTCATCATCTAGTTGTAAGAAAATTATTTAACCTTTTTCCTGTCAGGTCCATATTTCTCAAATTTTACCACTCCATCAATCAAGGAGAAGATGGTATAGTCTTTGCCAAGCCCCACATTCTTTCCTGCATGAAACTTCAAGGTTTGCAGAAAAAGGAAGAAGAGAATATTAGATGATTGAAACAATGAAAATGGCGCTTCTATCAGACAGTATGTACAGTAAACTTTTGTAACAACGGCATAATAGATTTTGGGTGTAGCAAGTTATGTTGAAAGCGGCATTAACTTACCTTTTGCAAAGATTTAAGAATTAATAAAAGATGTTTTTGTATTGTTTTTCACTTCTCTAGCATGACCTCCTCCAAAATACAATTGTCCTCTAGCTCTGATACTAAATAGATTGATTATTGACTGCATTTGTTACTATGAGATCCCCATTACTTCATCACTACCATTACCATTATAACAACCATAAAACCGACTTAGGAAGTTCTTCCAGTCTATAAAATGTTATAAAAGTTATGGAATAGTTCTACTATAGCAAACAATCATCAAAAGAAACTACTATTGTTGATTGCACAATGCAACTCAGTTATGGAATAGTTCTTTGCTCTTTTTGTATTAATTTTCTAGCCATTGAATAGTTTAGTAAACATTGATTATCATGAGGTTGCCAATGCACATTCATGTAAATTTTTATTCCAGGCACCAATTCAGTAATAAACTATTAACAACTTCAACAAAGCATTGAATCAACAAATCACAACAAAGCAAAAAAAAGCTTATCAGATCCACACCTTCCGAAAACCATCAATCTCCATGCACCATTTTAAAATTAAAACATTAGGCCACACAAAACTGTTACTCCGCGAGTGTCACGCAACCCAAACAATTGAGACCAATCACTCCTACGTCCTTCACACCACAAACAAATCTAAGCGTAGTACATTGTGTTATGTCTTATCCTCCAACTAAAATTATAATCTTACCTTAATAACTAACATCCACCTTTATTGCACATATTACCAACGAAAATTTTCAAGACACACCAAAAAGCACATTAGATTCAGCACCTAAGTTTTGTCTTTTAACAATACCTCTGGTGCTTCTGGTAAAGTTCTCCAATCAGAACTGAAGTTTCAAACCATCAGTAATGTCTTGCATTAAAGATTACCAAGGTGAAACTCCAACACGGAAAAACACTCAAGCTTTACTTGTACCTATATTTTGTCGTCTCCAAAAACGACATTCATAGTCGTACAATTAGTGATATTATTATTATTACCACATACCTTAGAACATGCAAGCTTACCTTTTACAACCACAGGGTAATTCATGGAGATGCTTAACATTCAACTAGTTTCTCTTCAAACTGACTTCCAAACCCTTCTTTCCACCCCTATTCAACTCAACTCATATAGAAAATCACCAAACTTAACAATCGAGCATAAATTAAAAATAAGACTTGAACAGGCTAATTCAATTATGCTTCTATAAATGAGCTTATCTCAGTAGTCGTAATATGACAAACTATTTCATTCCGAATATTTCTTTGAACGAGTTTGTCCCAAAAGACTTTACAGTGATAAAAAAAAATCACTACCCCCACACAATAACATTAGTTTATACAGAAGCTAAAAATAAAAATTTTGGAAAAGTGATACAGATTAACTTAAACACAAGCTCTCTCTCTCTTTTTATTCCATTTTTTTAGCCATGGTGTTTAGGGAGAAGTTGTTCCAAACATCCTTAGTAAACAAAAAACGAAGTCTCTTCACTAATGTGAATAACAGCTCAGCAACCGAAATTCACCGTAAAGCGAAAGAGAAAATGGTAAGAGAGGCACCTTGGTTCCGCGCTGGCGAACGATGATGGAACCGGGCTTGGCGACCTGGTCGCCGTAAATTTTGACACCGAGGCGCTTGCTCTGCGAGTCACGGCCATTCTTGGTGCTTCCCGCCCCCTTCTTGTGCGCGTTCTCGATTATGAGCGGGCGGCGGCGTGGGAGGCAGACCACAGAGGTGGGGCCCGCGCGGAGAGAAGCTCCGGCGAAGAAGGATGAGGAAGAGGAAGAAGATAAGGAGAGGCCCTTGAACGCTGATGCGAGGTGAAAGTCATAGCCATTGAAGCTGCAGCCGTTGGAAGTGAAGTGGTGGAAACGATGAAAGCCACACAAAGGTCCACTGGGAAATGAAAATTGGGTATAAATGATGGATAAGAAATAAGGAGGCTAAGGCAAAATTTTTGGGAAGATTTTAATTTTTTAATCTTTTCTACATGTAATTATTCAATTATATGAATTCAAATTATTATTATTTGATGAATTTTATTCAGCATTTTTAGTTTTTTTTTTATCAAATATGAAATAATTGTTTTTAATTTTAATAAATAGAGTGAATTTTGGTTTTAATATCTTATGTATTAAAAAAAATTACCACCCTAAATAACCTATGCTCGCATTGTAACATAATATCAGCATGCATTATCTAAAGGAAGTTTAAAAATCCATAAAATGATTCTTATTCACATTTACCTTTTGGATGTGTTTTTATTTGGGTGGGAGGGGGGGGGGGGGGGGCGGGGGGGGGAAACTCTCCCCTTGAAAAAAAAAACATATAATTATACAATTAACAAAAAAATATATTTTCTAACATTTTCATTGTTATTTTATACAATTTATTTTTCTATTATATACATTATCACACTGTAAAACTAATTAATAAAAATATTTATTTTCATAATTGACTTTCACCATGCATTTTTTTATAACTTCAATATGTAATATTTGTTAATTAAATTTTAGGGTTAATATGTTTTTAGTCCCTAAACTATTGACCGTTTTCTGGTTTTCGTCCCTCTTCCAAAGTAAGTATCAATAGTCCTCATCTTTAACAAACGTTAGTTTTAGTCAAAAAACAACGTTTTGAGGACTAAAACGAGGATACAAAACAAAATTTGAGGACTAAAACGAACGTTTTCATAAAGAATGAGGACCAAATTTGTACCTTACTTGGAAGAGGGACGAAAACCAGAACGGCCAATAGTAGGGACTAAAAACATATTAACCCTAATTTATCAAGAACTAGTTCATCATAGATAAATATTAAGAACTAAAACACTCTTAAAATTTTGGAGCATAAAAACCTTTTTTATACAACAATAATTGAAACATATTATAAGGACTAACTGACTTCAAATTTTATAAAGATGAAAAGCATTTTTTTAATAAAGATCAAAATAAAAAACTCACTAATTTGAATAAAAAATGTTTAAATTATAGTATTAATATAGTAAAGACAACATTCTTTTAAAGAACAAGATTTTATTTAAATTTAAAAATAGTACATTTTTATACAATCGCAATTAAACGAAGAGGCATTCCAAATAAGAGAAATTTTTTAGTTTCCCAGGGATATAATCTTAAGAAAGTACTCTTCATGTTTAATTTACCTTTGAGAAAAATAATATTGTCAAAAGAATCAGGTTTCCAAAAATAGGTTTTAATTAAGTTTCACAGAAAAACATTATCAAGAAGAGATGAAAATCTAACTTTTACTTGGTGTAAAAAAATTATTAAAAAAATCAGATTACTCTATTAAATCTTTACTGTAGCACTAAATTAAAATTTAATAGAAAAAATAATATTACTCTTTACTTTCGAGAAAATTTCTGTAAATTCGCCAATAATAATTTTTATTAATCAAATACATGTTAGTTCTCTCGAGAATCATGTAACTCTCACCTACCATAGTTCCGGGTATGAAAATTTTCCTCTTAACAACATCCCATTAAATAATTTTAATCATATATAGTAAAGGGAGATCGAAAAAAGATCGACCAACTATAACTTTTTTTCTTAATTTATTGAAAAACTCATGTTTGGGACATAAAATGAAAAGTTTCTAATATGATTTTCAGTAGCATTATTGGTTTGCAAACTAAGCTTTGCAAATTTGGAAATGGAAGAAAAGGAGTTCTTATTCCTGAATTCCAAAACACAAAAATAATTCATAGAAAAACATCATTTGAGAAATAAAATTACTTTAAGCTCTTAGTTAACATCCCAATTTCTTCTTCTAAAGGGTGTTATGTTCTTCCTTATGTTCCTATTAATTTCATTTGAACAACCTTCCATCTATATACTCTAATCTTTTCAATACCATTATCATTCATCTCACTTAGTTAATAATAACCGAATATATATGATTTAAAATTAAATGACTTTTTTACTTTATGAACATATTCAAACTTTCATGCCACACATTTTCAGCATCTAAATAAAATATTAACTTAAACGAATCCCACAACATCAACAATGTCAAAGTGCCAAGCCCACAAGAAGATCAATTTATGGGAATATGGTGCAAAACACATGCCACAATCACAAAAATCGATGACAAATAATAAAGTATTAAAAAAAAATCACCATCGTGCCTGGGTTCCAAATTTCGCTGGCGGTAGTTCAGTTACGACATTCAACAAACACGTCGCGTGCCCTTTTATCCTTGGCGAGTTTAATCAGCAACTCACACTCCAAGAACGAGTCAGAAACAGTGCAGATCAATCTCTATTCATGTCCACCAAGACGAGTCAGTGGTAGCGGAATCGTGCTGCTGTTGTTGTTCGGCGTTCATGAGTGCTTCCATGTCTCTCATTCTGGTGCGCATGGCGTTGGTGACTAGGACTGCGAGAAAACAGAATGAGTGAGGTGAATCTGACTAATGGTGATGAAACAATTGAAGGAGAAAGAATGGGAAGAGAGGTTACTGGCGGCGGTTCCAAAAGTCCAAAGCCATAGGATCTTCACACCAACGCTCTTCGGTTCGCGCGCCATAAGAGATTCTGCGATGCATGGTGTGCAAGTTTTTCTGAAGAAAAGGAAGAAAAAGGGCTGGGCCGGACTCATTTAAGATGAATCTCACTGAGATTTTTCTTCATGCACCCCCGTAATTTCTAACTGAAATCCAATAATTTTTAAGTTTAAAGATCATTTTGACACTAAAAATATATATTCATGATATTTTTTAGATAACACCATATCAATCATTCTTAAAAAAATAATTCAATCTTATATTCTATATTCAATCACTAAAGTGATACATTATTCATAAATGTAAAATATTAAATGAAGAAAAGTGCGAAATATATATTTTTAGAGCACAAACAGAATAAATCCCTTTTTAATAAACATAAAATGCTAGTAAAGTTGGCCTATAGAAAAAATAGCCAATTATGAGGTTATAATTAAAAAAAAAAATTGATATGAACATTGAAAAGAAAAATAAGAGGATTATGCTTGTCCTTGATAAAAAGGAAAAAAGAATATTTTCTTTTTTACAATATACCAAGTAGCATTAAGTAACAAAATTTTAATGGTAGGAATATTTATGAAGCACTAATAAAATGCATCTTTAGATATAATAAAATGAGATTTATGTATCTGGAATATATTATATTCTATATATATAATAATAACACCTGACAATGCACGTGTATACCCTACAATACTTTATAGTGAGATGACAATTAGGGCATTATTACCCATCATTAGAGGGACCTTCTCATGCAACCTTAGCATTTACTTTACATTATTATTGAGATAATAGTATTTTCTTTAAGAAAATTCTTTTCATCCACAAAAACATTTTAAATATAAAAATCTATTAAATATATATTTAGATATAAAAGTATATCAAGTAATGCATCTAAAAAACCTTTACGACAGTAGAATGTCAAATAAACTCAATCATAACTAATACATAATTTTTAAACCAGGGACGAAAATAAATATTTATANAAGACGAGTCAGTGGTAGCGGAATCGTGCTGCTGTTGTTGTTCGGCGTTCATGAGTGCTTCCATGTCTCTCATTCTGGTGCGCATGGCGTTGGTGAAAAGGACTGCGAGAAAACAGAATGAGTGAGGTGAATCTGATTAATGGTGATGAAACAATTGAAGGAGAAAGAATGGGAAGAGAGGTTACTAGCGGCGGTTCCAAAAGTCCAAACCCATAGGATCTTCACACCAACGCTCTTCGGTTCGCGCGCCATGAAGAAGAGATTCTGCCAAGCATAGAGTGCAAGTTTTTCTGAAGAAAAGGAAGAAAAAGGGCTGGGCCGGACAGTTAAGATGAATGTCGCTGAGCTTTTTCTTCCTGCACCCCGTAATTTCTAACAGCAATCCAATAGTTTTTAAAATGGTTGTTTTGTCTTCCGTAAAAGTCAGAATAGGATTTATTGAACAAATTTTGAAATAGGATTTTCAAAATAAGATTTCTAGAACAAATTTTCAGAGCACATAAAATGCAATTCATAACAAGTTAAATTACTAAATATATATTTTTACTTGCTAATTTTGTCTTAATTTTCATCTTGTTCATTATTATACTTCATTCTAATATTTGTGTATTCGGAAGCACGTTTAAGAACTATAGATATTTAAAAATATTATTGTCTTCCCCACCTATAAGTTACTAAGAAAGCTATTTTGGTATTAACATAATGACACATTCACCCTCAATGGCAACCATTGCATGCACGTGAATATGTGAATTTATTCCTTCGTTACATTGCACTCAATCACTCTTGAATTCTTTGAAGAAAAATATTTTAAATAAATTCAATACCAATAAATTATAAACAAATCCATAAAATATTATGATATCACTTATTTCCTGAAATTTTGAAATAATGAGTTTATAAGTTTTTTCACATTTATGAAATTCAAATTCACACTTAAATTTCATATATAATATTACTCTTTTAAGTATAAGTATCTTTCTACGTTAGTACTCTCACCTTTAATAAAAATATTTTTAATCAAAAAATAATTTAGTAATGTCTTTTACTTATGTTATTATTTAATACAACAACCTAAAATTGTTCACACACTTCATATTCTCATTAAAATCAATTATACAAACAAATTACCTAAGACCATTAAAGAGTTTTTTTTCAAGAGGATACTATTAAAATATTTGACACTAATAAATTGTGAATCCCCTCATAAAAAATTACAATACTATCTTCTATACAAAATGTTTATAAGTCTTATTTGACACAACCTCACGACAACCTTGTTCTTTTGAGTGGATTTGAGGGAATGAATTTGAGAGAATTTGAGAGAATTTGAAGATAAATATTTTTGTCGTTTATTTGAGTGAATTTTGAGGTAAATAAGAATAAATTTGGAAATAATTTTTTTTAATTTGTCACGTCAATACAATTCTATACTAATTCTCACAAATTTTATTTTCAAATTCACTCTCATTTACCTCCAAATTCATTCAAATAAACGACACAAAAATTTATCTTCAAATTCCCTCAAATCTATCAAAAGAACAGGATTTTAATGACTATTGTAGAACCTTAGTTTTTTCAATAAAAGTAATGAAAATCATTTTTTTAAAGTGATCGGTAAAATTTTATGATAAATATTTAAAATAACAATACAGATTTGGTGATTTGGAAAGAAGTGATGCACCTCTACCAACTTAGCAATGAAAAAAACCAAAAGTATAATTTATCACTTAACATCTAAAATGTTTTTTAGTGTCTAATTATTTAGTTCTATAAGATATTTTGTCAATAAAATATAAGTTTAAAGACCATTTTGACACTGAAGATATATATTCATGATTATTTTTTATTTGTTATCTATCTATGGATAACACCGGATTAATCGTTCTTACAAAAAATAAATCAATCTTTTATTCTAATTCAATCANGCATCTAAAAAACCTTTACGACAGTAGAATGTCAAATAAACTCAATCATAACTAATACATAATTTTTAAACCAGGGACGAAAATAAATATTTATATTTTTATTTCGTTTTTTTATATACTTGTTTTTCTGTTTATATATTTACTTTTTTTTTAAATTATTAAAACACTTTGAATTTACAAAAATATTTTTCACTAAAACTTTATTTTATTTGAATAATATTTTTATGGGTTAAATATGTTTTTAGTCCCTAAATTATCACGCGATTTTGGTTTTTCATCATTTTTGAAAGGTCTGTTCATTTTAGTCTCTTAGTTTTGAAACTCTTATGTTTAGTCTTAAAAATTAACGACGTTAAATTTTCTGTGAGGTGACAAACGGCGAGTCACGTGTGATGTCACCTTCTCTGACCACTTTTAATTGACGTGGCAGTAAAGTCTAGTGGTTGATCGCCTTGATGGGGGGTCAGCCATAAAAACCTGGTGGTCAGTCTGCCTCGTGGGTGGTCGATCTAGTTGTGCTTGAATGAAGGTCAGTGCTTGTGCTTTATTGACTTCGTTTTTATGCAGCTTGTTTTATACAACTTGACTTTGTTTCTAAATATCGTGCAGTCTCATGGCACCACCAGGCCGACCACATACCAAGCCGAGCACCAGGCCAAATACCAAGCCGACCACCCACCAGCCGACCGACCACCAAACTGAGTGGCCGACCGACCACCAGACTCATACTGCCACGTCAATTAAAAGTAGTCAGGGAATGTGGCATCACACGTGACTCATCGTTTGCCACCTCACAGAAAACTTAACATTGTTGCGTGTTAAGGACTAAAAATAAGAGTTTTCAAACTTAGATGACTAAAATGAATAAACCTTTCGAAGAGAGAAGAAAACCAAAATCGTGTGATAGTTTAGGGACTAAAAACATATTTAATCCTATTTTTATTATATAAATTTTATTTTTCTCTCTTATTTACATTTTAATCGATATTTTATCAAGTTGATTTATATATTTCAATTATTTTTTTCTTAATATTTATAAGAATAATAATTGTTCAAAATGTTATAAAATTCTAATTGTGCGTCATTATTATTTTAGTAATTATTTTTATTTTATTTTAAAACTTGTAGAACTATAATTTTTTCTTTAATATTAAATATTAAAAAAATTAATTTTTAGTAATGTAATAATTTTTCAATGTGGATTTATTAATATATATATATATATATATATATATATATATATATATATATTAGATACATATTATGATAAAATATAACAACCATAAATTTTATATGAATAAAAGTAGATAAAATATACATAAACGTACTTAAAATCAAACTGACACCTCCTAGCAAATTCTCATCATAGTGATAGTGTAATATACATAGATAGAAAGCTTACCAACTTATGCAAAGACACTTTTATCGATCACGTGTTTTTCTTTTTCTTTTTCCTTTTGTTACTTTTTCTTTTTCGGTATTTTGTTTACATTTTCGACTACTATACATTTTTTTCTACGTACGAAAACAATATTATACATGTATTATTGTATTTCCTTTTCTTTTTCCTTTCTAAGTCTCAATTAGAGATTTGAAATGTATTATATATATATATTTTTTTTTTTTTTTAATAATATGATTTGACAATTGGCCGAAAGAGAAATACTAACAATACGACGTTTAACACATTTTAATGTAATTTTGATTATTTATTGAAATTCATTTTAGCTTAGAAAGAAGTTGATAATTGAAAAGGAATTTGAAATGTTCTGAAACAAGAAGAAGGAGCTGGAATTGATGACCTAATTATTTTTGAAGATTATTAAAATGAATAGGTTTAGGAGGCACTAGCATGGGGCGGTGGCGTGTGGCATATCTAATTAGGGCACTCTTTTCTTTTTTTTTTTCTTTACTTTATCACTTTCTATTTTCTATTACCTTTATTATTATTATTTCTTTTAATTTCTTTTATTATTATTTGTTTGAATCTTTGGATGAGAGGAAGAAGAGGAGCGTATGCAAATGTGGGCTCCACGCCCATGTAGGGCCCAATAGCAGCCCAAGTTTGCCGACCACACGGCTTTGTCTTTTCCACAGTGCTTTTTCTTTATGCCTCCCAAACCTTACTATCCACAAAGAAAAAAAAGAAACATATTTTTACTTTAAAATAGTATATTTAGTAGGTTAATTTACTGTACTACCCTTTTTTTACTTGATCAAGG